AGAGGCCCGGCCCTGAGGTGTCTCAAGCTAAAGCGGCCAAATGGGCGCCGCCCGTTTTTTAATCGAGGTTATAAACGCTCTTGAATGTCCACTGACAAGCCACAGACTAAGGTGTCTTGATGATTATTTTTTTTATTAATAAATACCTGGACAGCACCAATGATACTTGAACATAATCCTGCAATGCCGTGGGGACCGCAGGGGCACGTGTCCCCGCTTGGACTCATTTTGTCCTTTTGCATTTGCTTGCACACATGCTCTTCCATGTGTAACACCTTGGATAAAATGGATCCAATCAATATCAAGTGAGAGGAAAATGCTAATTTTAAACTATTACCCTCCTTTGGTTTTAAAGTGACTCATCATCAAGCGTACAGGAGTGCTGCAATTTAAACCCAGAGCACTGTGGTTCCTCTCAGAGGGTCTTCTCTTTGTATACACGTGTGCACAGACGTTGACAACAAGACTTTTGGCCACCTTAAAGTTTCCATGTGTCTGAAAGCATTAACATTTTCGAGAACAAAAACTGGAAAGAAAGTGTATTCATATACATCAGAGTTCTGTACATTAATAAGCTTTTATACAAATATAATCCACCAAATATTGGCTTCTACGTACAGTTCTGAAATATGGCGACTCATTTGTATTACCTAACCTTCGACAGTGCTACTACTAACATGAATGTTTCAGGTTGCTTTAACACCTGGAGAATATGTTTGTTTTACAAAGTGGGTACAGATTTCTCTCACTTGATATGCAGTTTACTTATGAATAAATTAAGTGGTAAAATGAAGCTTGAACAACATAGTCTGTGGTGTAGTAACATCAGCAACTGCAAGTTCCTGGCCATCCACAAGCCCCAATTCTGAAACAGAAAGAAAAGTGTAAGCACAGCAAATCACTGTGGTTTGTCTTTTTTAAATTAAAAATAATAATAACATTATGAATGCCACACCCACAAATCATAAATATGATGAAATAAAGCTACAAACAGCTCACTAGCTAAACTAATATTTATCTATTACATCCAGGAAACTAACAGACCTTGTCAGGAAATATATAAAACACTACTGAAGCATGTTTAATTTAGATCAGTTATCAGCTTGCTTTGTTGGAATTTTTTCTCCACGCCTGTCCATGTTTCACATTTAAACAATTCAAAGCTTATCCCTGAACAACCTGCAAAAAGTATATTGTATGTAAAAGTATAAAGAAACACGTTTTACTATACAATGCAAAATACGCTAAATACGCCATACAGAGGGATTCAACTGAACCGTTTAGGGCAAGGTCTTGAAAATCTACACAAGACAACTGCACGATACCTTTTAGTGTCTTGGAAAGATTTGGCCTTGTTCGCTCTTCAATTGAAGCCACTGTCTGCAGGAAAAAAAAAAAGCCAAAACATTTTCTTTCAAATTCAGAAAAATAAATTTAAATAAATTTAGATTACTAAAGGCAATTAGGTATGTTCAGATTACCTGCAGATAAAGTGTTTTATTTCCCCCATACATGGTTGCTGTGATTGCAGGAGATTTCATCTGCCTATATACATAACAATTTAAAAAAAAAAAAGACAAACAGGTAAAAATTCATTTAGAAACTACCTTTCTGAACCACCAAGCTACCCTAAGTTATGAAATAAGTCAGACTAGTTCCATACTTACAATGAAGCATTATTTGTCAAGTAATCCAAGATCTCCTGCAACTTAGCTGATGGAGAAATCTCTATGTTCTGGGGAAGTTGGCTGCAGGCTGGACAGTTCTCCTACAACAAAAGTATCACAAGAATGCATGTTATGTTCAATATGTTTTTTAAAATGCTTAATAAGGTTTCAAAACTATTTGTGCTTTTTTTTCCTAAGTTTTTTTAGCTCAAGAAATATTAGTACTGTTGACAAAGCACAATTCCTTGTGAAGTCTGCCGTGTTCGACTGGCTCTCAGCAGCAGCTAAGTACTGATGAACTACAACTTTCATCTGGCATAGAATTTAACACTACACACTTGAGTTGTCGTAACCTCTTTATGAGAAGATTTGCTTATAAGTTTTCTTAAGACTGCAAATCCTATTTTGTACACCACGTTTCCTGTATGACAGGAGAAATCTTCAGGATTCACTTTCCAAAAAGTCAAGCACTATTTTCCTCTGCAGGTAGCACAGCAGAAACAGCTGAGAGGCTGATGTTGCTACTACATATACTATGCAATAGTTTTTGCTCAACTAGTGGGTAGAAGAAAAAGTTTCAATACCAGGACATCAAATTAAACACCTGTTGATCTGGAGGTAAACAGTCTTGCTACTCTACATTGCCCCTGTCATCACTATTCTACCCCAAAACCACAGAAGTTTAAAAAAAAGATAAATCCTACATGCTAAAAACAATACTCTGGAGAAGTAGCTGAACCAGTAATACTGTAGTTTTTACTAGTAACACTGTAGTTTTTGCTTTTAAAACTTCAGAAATACCATTATTGAGTGCTAGGGGCCAAGAGATTCAATATTGTGTTTCAGAAATACAAAGTGTGCAAATTCAATGAAAATCAAGGAAACAACACTACAAGCCTTTAACAGCACTGACCTTTCTTTCAGCTTCAAATGTGTACGTGTATAATCCATCCACATCATTAAACACCAAGTAGTTGTTAAGAGGAATGTATGCACTGTAATGATAAATATGTTAGTGTTAATACACGTTGTTATGTTGGATATCATTTATGTTATCAACAAGAAATGAAATACCTTGTGGCTATTTTAAAAACTTCAGTGGCGCAAACAGCTGGAATAAGAAAAAAAATAAAACAAAACAATTTTTTCAGTTTCTAGCTCTGTCACAGAACATGCAGACATTAGTGCAGAGAGTTCTACCAGAGAACAAAAGTGACTAAAAAAAAAAAATCAAATATAACAATTTGTACTTGGCAATTCTAAGCATTAACACCAGAGATTTGGCACTTATCTGAGACTATGCTAAGCTTATATAGAGTATTTTACAATTTTTTTTCCCCAGTCTCAAATGTTTTTGCTCACTCCCACAGTTATACATGAGCTCAACATTTATACAGTCACATGCAGCTTCTCTATGGAAAAGAGGAATGGGACTGTAAGAATAAATCAGACTCACTGAAACGTTACTATTACCCTCCCCAAGTTCTCAATTCCAAATCATTGCCTTACAAGACTCTAAATTCTGCAAAGCAAAGTGAAATGAGTCCTTTCAGCATACCTGCAATTACTGCATTTGTAGAAGCCACTGCTGGAATAATTCGTTTAACCACCCCTGTAGAGTAAAACATACAATTTTGTTTTTTCCAAGAATCTATACGGAGAGACAATTTTTGGCCAAAGTAATTAGAGAAGAGTGTACCCTAAAGGTACTTTAAACTTCCCAAGAATTTCTATGACAATAAGGTATAACAGCATGCTGCTCAACTACTTTGGCATTTTTTAATTTTAGGAATAGATCAAGCATGTTGGAAAAAAAGGAGTGAACTAGTGAATAAATTCTGAAAACAAGTATTCTGTATTTAGCACTGCAAATTCATTTTAGACTCAGTTCTATGCGTGTTTAACTGAAGAAACACATAAAGGAAAGATACTTGGTTTTGGTATTCCTTCCGCAAGAAGAGGCTCACCACCCAGTCAAACAGCACAGTCCCTACACTGCCATAACGCAAGATTTGCTACATCTACAAGCTTGTACATCAAGTTTGCTCTTTTTTCAGGCCTGCCAAAAAGATGGCAAATTCCTAAGCCAATTGAAGTTCCCCTGGCTTCTCATTCTTAACATGTATCCCTTCACGTTTGAGAAAACACGCATCAAACTTTTATCTTTGCCTTCTTTCTGCTACGTACTTCACAATGAAGCCATCTTCAAATGCTGACAACCGTGCATCGATTTACATGTACACAATTATGTTTCACAACCAGAGTTTTCATCATTTACGCTGATTAAACATTCTGCACTTGCATGTGAACAGGGGCATACACAGCAGTAAAGAAGAGATGCTATAGTCTTAACCAGCCTGAAATGGCATAAAGTGTTGTCGCTAAAAGACTTGGCCACGTCCTTTTGTTCCTGCTCTTCGACCCAGCGAAAGCGGTCACAGTATAACGTGAACTGAGGAGCTGCTCCAGGTTAACAATAAAATGGCAAAAAGAATGTTCAGTTTTGTCCCAGATCAGTTCCTCCGATTCACCACAAATGTCTAAACATCTGATTCATCATAGAAATATTTGTGCTGGCACAGGAAATGTGCTTCTTGTTTCTCTTCTAAGTTGTTAAGTGAGAAAAGAATTTTTTTTCTCAGCAGAGCTGCCAGCTTAGTCATAACAAATACAAGGAATATCAAATCCAGTCCAACTGCAAATGCTGCAAACTTATCCGATTCACCACAAATGTCTAAACATCTGATTCATCATAGAAATATTTGTGCTGGCACAGGAAATGTGCTTCTTGTTTCTCTTCTAAGTTGTTAAGTGAGAAAAGAATTTTTTTTCTCAGCAGAGCTGCCAGCTTAGTCATAACAAATACACGGAATATCAATCGAGTCCAACTGCAAATGCCGCAAACTTAGTGCAAAGCCATACCCTTACCTTGGGTGAGTCTGTATGTAACACCTTTAATATTAAATTGTGATGCTCTTTCTAAAGACTTCTGGTAAATCCACTGTATGTGTTCAGGGTCATCTCCATCCAATGCAACACCTTCTACAGCAAAGTTCAGAATTTACAGGTAAGTGCTATTAAAACTTGACACTTTAAATAAAATATCATTTCTATAAACACCGTAACTTCTATCACATTCTGTACACAACCTATCTTAACCTCACAGATTTACAGAGCTGTTACAGGTTACATTCTGAGTCAGGAAGGACACTGCAGTATGAGACAAACACGTGAAGAAATACGGAACTGGAGAGTAAGTTCGAGAAGAAAAAATCCCAGCTCAGAGGAGGCTGATTCAATGCAATGAGCCACATAAAGTTAAAAGGTAGGATGGTTTCACTAAAAGCAGTGATTTATGTCTAATTCAAAACAAATGAGTTAAAAGGAGAAAAGTCAGTTTAGCACTAATATACTAATTACCTCCAAAAGGCTGCTCCTTCGGCCACTGCAATATCCTGACATACTCAATACAGTGCTCTGGTAGTCTGGGCATAGATGCAATAGTACACATGGGAAAATTGACCTGATGTGGGCAGGGGAAGAAAACCAGAGACAAATGTGTAATAAGTTATGTATAGTACTAGGAAAAGAAACAAACAAAACAGAGGAATTTAAAAAAAAAAACCAAAAACAAAAAAAAGGAAATATCACTGGTTGAAATTACCTGTGGTGGATAAAGCTCAAGTGTGCATTCAACACATGCTGTCATACCAGGAATAATCACACGAACATTTCCTTTAAAACCTTCTGTCCCTCCATCTATTAAAGGTATGATGGAACTTGGATCCAGTACACCATCTTCATAATGTAAAAATGACATCTAACAAACAAAGGTGAAGGGTTTTGTTGGGTTTTGCTTTTTTTAAACAAGTTGCAAGGAAGAAAAAGAAATCGTAGAAATTTCATTCTTTATGGTACCACAAGATGAAATGCTTAATATACAGTATATTTTGAGGGTACATTGGGCATAAAACACAACTTATTTGTCAGTGCATGGTGCTTCCCCTACTACCTTCCCCCTCCACCTCCTCTTCCCCTCACTCCCCTGAAAAAAAAAAGCTATTATTTCCTTATAGTATAACAGAAAAAATGGTTGGTTAGTTTTAAGGATTTGGGGGGTTAATTCTTGGTTTGTTGTTCTGTTTGGGTTTTTTTAAACACTGGTAAATTCTCAAGAACATTATTTCATAAATAATGAAACAACAAATAATGAAATATTGAAACTGCGGCAGAGAAGAATTAGGGTAGATATGAGGAAACACTTCCTCAGGGAGAGGTGCTCAGGCACTGGGATGCAGTGCCCAGGGAAGTGGTGGAGTCACCATCTCTGGAGGTGTTTAAGGAGAGGCTGGATGTGGCACTTAGGGCTGTGGTCTGGTCGATGTGATGGTTTTGAGTCACAGGCTGGACTTGATGATCTCAGGTCTTTTCCAGCCTCAACAATTCTGTGATTCTGTGAATTCACGATGATAAAATTACCTAGTTCACGGACTAGGTTTCTACTACTTTGTAGCATAAGGGCTCCAAAAGATGACATTTACAAGTTGCAGCACAGTAAGTACTATCTGGCTAATGTAAAAAAAAAAAAAAAAAGTAAATCAAAACAGGAGCACCCAGAGAGCTGGGCAGCTTGAAGTTTTTTCAAAAGCTGACTGCACCAGGCCACAAACAATGTAATCTGATTTTGAAATTACCCCTGCAGGGTGTTGCACAAATGTTGGCTAACATTGCTCAAGAAGAAGGCAGGTAAGGGAGTGTATATTTTGTCCTGGTCACAAAAAGAAAACAGAAAACAGAAGTACATACAGAAAGCTGTGAGTTTCAACAGCCTTCATTTCATTTTAATGACACATTCTACACAAATTTGTTCAATTTTAGTTTTCTACACTCAAGCAATAACCAGGCTTTAAAAAGATTGAGGACTTTACCAGCATGCCATTAATCCATCTTCTTGCAATTATAGAGTCCAGCCCACAAACAATAATATGAAACTCTAGGGGGGGAAAAAAAAAGTTATTTAAAGTCTATACTAATGCATACTTCTTAAGACAAAGTATTCTGGTTGTAACAGTTCAGAGAAATTGACTGCAGTTTAACTGTCTCTGCCAGATTACCTACGTGACAGATGCATGTAAGTTTTGTCTATTTGTTACTTTTACTTCCAGTACACAATAGAAGAATAAAATAATTGGCAATCTAACTGCCAGGAAATGCAGTAAGCAACTACTGCAACGTTCCCGTAAAGCACCAGTGAGTGTCTGGCAAGCAAATACCACTTACGTCGATAGAAGCTTTCATCCATGTCTTGAATCTTTTTAAAATATCTGAATGTAAGCCCAGTAAAGGAATATATTTATAAAGTAGTTAAGTTTACTGTTTTCTATTCACCAACCTAAAGCCAAAACATTATCCAATTTATTACCATAATTTTATATGACACTTTTTTAAAAAAGTGACTCAAAGATTCAAAATTCCCACTGCTGGAGCTGTAGGATCTGAAAAAACAAGGGACACAATGTGACAGTCACACAGAGGAAGAAGCACAGAACACTGGCTCTCACAAAGTCGTGTATCAGTAAGCGCTGCTCTACATTTACAAACTAAAGTATCCTACCAGTACATACTCAAAACACTCTGGTGAATAAACCTGTAATTCTATTACCTCAGTGAAAATTAGACTATTGCATTTGAATAAAAAGAGTTAGTCCAAACACAGAAAATAGTTTCTTAAAGCTCAGCTTGTTTTCCTTGTGTCCTAATGCCACCAAGAACGAGAATTCTCAATCACCAGCTGAATGAATCTGTATGAAAAAGAGAGGGTGGCAGCAAAACACTTTAGATAGTCTTACCACCTACAGAGTTTTTTTTAAAGCCTTCAAGGCTACTACTTGGCTATAAAAGGATACGCCACGACAGCACAGTTGGGAATGCGGCTGTTTAGGAATTCTGCTGCAACCTCTGCTTTTGGCCGCCCGACATCCTTCGGTCTGGGAAATAAAATAAGGAATTTCAAAGGCATTATTTTAGTAGATCCAATCTTTCCAGACTATGCATTGCAGTATCGAATTAAGGGACTAATTGTTACTGTAGGATAATTAAAGAATCCCTGTAAAACATCAGATATGAGACCTTCAGTTAGCTAAATATGTCCATGTATCTTCAGTCATCAGCACAAAAAAAAATTCCAACATTTTTTCATTTTGCTTGCAAGACAAAGATATCAGAAAATTTGACATTTCAATCTGTGTGCTTTACTCTTTAGTATCACCTTTTCTATTAGTCATCAGCTGTATTTGAATGGTAAGGAATGTGTATTTATTTTTTTCACAGTCAAACTATAACACCACAGATCTCAAACCAGGAAGGAATTATACGAAACATTAAGTTAATTATGAGCACCACTGTGACAGGAACTTTCACTAATCTTCAATGACATCTTGTTCAACCAAAGCAATGATCATACTCACTTATTTTGTTCAGGCACTCTTAAAAAAAGCAAACATGGAATTGTGAAAAGATCACTTACCGAAACAGAAACTGTCGGTTCAGATTAGAAACATCTATAGTATCCATGTCAATAACATGGATCTGTCTAAAGCCAGACAGCGCCTGTAAAAGGATAGTGAACTTCATTTAATAGGCAATGAAATGCTCTTACTGCTCCAGAATTCCTCCCACATGCCAAAAAACTCCAACCTTTGGAGGAACAAATGTATATATTCTTTATTCCCTGTGAAGACAGGCATATGGTGGTTCTTTGTTGCCTTGCTAATGCTGATATTTAGACAGATGGAATTAGTAACATTTCAATGGTCAAAGACAATATTCTGCTGAACGTGACATTAGTTTAGTCTACCTAATCAGAACACAGGAAGCCAACAGTAGGCTGACCTATATGGGAAATCTGCAGTATTCCCTCA